GGGGGGGGCAGTGGTCTGTGAAGAGCACTGTGCTAAATCACCAGAAACTAGCTCAAGAGTACCAGAAACAACCAATTCTAGGTGGCTGGGTCCTGGACCTCTCACTTGGGCACTTGAATTTGATGGGTGTCTTTGTACAGTCAGACAGCAAAAATCTTGCCTGTCCTTTAGCTCCTATGAAATTGAAAAACGTTAGTTCTCAAGTGAAATAGCTTGACGTAAGCATAGTGGATTTGGCATTTACTTCTTGGATATCACTTTCATAACATAATACACCCAAGTTTTGGCCTAATTTCTGCAAAAAGTGGGCATGCTGTGGGTACAATAACTGTTGTCACATGTGTTTTTTCTTTTGAACTGATGATGTTAGCAAAATATCTCTTTCTCTCCCCCCCACCCACCCACCACTAGCTTCTATAAACAGTTCTTCAAATTAACCGTAATCAATGCTCATTTTAGCTGAAATCCAGCACTGCCTGGTTAATGCTGGCGATGTGGGATGTGGAGTGTTTGAATGCTTTGAAAACAATTCTTGTGAGATCCGAGGCTTACATGAGATCTGCATGACATTCCTGCACAACGCTGGAAAATTTGATGCCCAGGTAACAAAAAGTGAAATGTCTTGTAGATCTGCTTGGTTCTTATGTGTACTTGGCATGTGTAGTAGTTCTTTAACACATCTTCGGAAAAAAGTTACCATTAAGGAGCAAATCTGCTTTTGCACATGATCCAGCTTCTACTTTTTTTTTGATGAAAACTTAGGTGTGTGCAGTAAAATGCTTATCTTTTTTTTTCCTGTTCAGCTCAATCGAATTTTTTCTGTTGATTTGAAGGGTCTAAAATCAAGACCCAAGAGCAGAGCAATAGACAGGCAGTGTGTAACTTGTCCCAGGAGACAAGCTGCCCCTAGCTGCAGTTCCATGTGACGGCTTTCTCCTACAGTACCCAGGATAACTAAATCAGAACAGCCATCTACATAGACATAATTTTCTGAAACGTTAAGTGGCTTAAGCTTCTAAGTGACGTTGTTCCCAAAGCTGATTCTGAAGTGCAGCTTGGGCTCCCAGTTCATTTAGACATGCTAGAAAATATTTCCCAATGTGCAGTTGTTAAAGTTTGTTCTGAAGACTTGTACACAACCAGTACGGGCAACCTCCTAAAGCCGCTGCATTCAAATAATCCTTTGGTTCAAGCTCTGACATTAAGCTACATTACTTAGATGGTATGCAGTATTAAGTTTGTCTCCTTCATTTTCTCCCCAGACCGTGTATGCATCACTGAGACATCCTGTTATTATGTCCTGTAAAACTACTCTCCCATTTCAGTGCGGAGGGAAGAGAACATTACGACGGGCCAGCGGCATTTGGCTTGACCATGCAGCTTACCATACAGCTTGACTAAAAGCACAAGCTAGATGGCACCCTTAAAAGCATGGTAGAAAGCAGAGCAGGCTTCAGGATTCAGCCTCTTTCATGAGGGATGGTGGGACCACCCAGTGGAAAAACTCTTTGGAAGTGCTGGAAGTCTCAGCTTAAATTTTGAAGGATGTAGAAAGGGTCTGACTAGCCATTAAAACTGGGGAATTGATTCTTCTGTGTCCATGGGTATCTGAAAACCCTCAATTTCTAATTGGCGTCCGGAAAATGCTATCTTATTTTTGCACAATATTCTGTCAGTGCACCAAGCTGACAAAAGGGTTTTTTTTAGCCATTAAAACTGGGGAATTGATTCTTCTGTGTCCATGGGTATCTGAAAACCCTCAATTTCTAATTGGCGTCCGGAAAATGCTATCTTATTTTTGCACAATATTCTGTCAGTGCACCAAGCTGACAGAGGTAAGTCCTGCTGGCAGCAGAGGGAAACAAACACCTATGAAGGGTGAGCGTAGCCAGGGATAACTCTTCCACAGGATACCCAGATACTGTCAATCAGATACAATCTGTTTCACATCCAGGCTGTCTCCATTGCCGTGCAAAAGTGTTACACCTCTGGAGCTTTAATAAGTGACTTGACCCTCTGCTATGACATGGCTTTTTAGGGCACGTCTCCTTGTTATCTATGTGTCTTTCCGGGTGCATTAAATGATGTGACTAGCACTGGTCACTTTCTGTTTTCTGCTCTCCTTCCCTTTCTTTGAAACCTGAGAATTGATGTCAGGTGTGGTTTGTATAAGAACTTTGTCTTTGTCCTTATTTGCCTACTGTGCCGTGCACATTTGTTACCGAGGGGAAGGGCCAATAAGTCCCTTTGGTACGTGGCATAGAAGGGGATGATGACTGAAGGAGTTCTTTGATCAGCAAGAAACATTTCTGGCTTGAAACGATTTGTGGACAAAATTTACTTGCCCATCTAGGTGAATGTCCTGTGAGTCTTTATAAATGTCAGTGGAGTCATGCCGGTGTACCTTTTGGCTAAAGGACTAGAACTGTCTCCATCTGATGTGGTCTTCATGAAGCATTTGTGTAAAATAATCTGAAGCTCGTGCAGAGATGGAGGCAGCGTAGAAGGCTTCCACACACCTATTGCTCAGCAAAGTAAAGGAAGTCTGAGCAGAGCTGTCACGGACTGTAACGCACACAGCGTGCTGTGTATCCAATAGCCAAAAGAGGAAAGGTGGGGATGATTTTGCCTGATTCCCTCTGAAAACTGAACAAGGAAATTGCAAGCAGTGGTTAAAGGGATGTTGCCAAAGCAGCTTTCTAGCAACTTACTTTTTAAATTTTTTGTTCTGATTTTTAATCTTGCTCAATATTTCTTCCAGCAAACAGACACCAAGACACTGTAGGATTATTATTAGCGCAGATTTGGGTCCCCTTCTGCCCGAGGAAGTGGTTGTAGAGAAAACCCTGACAGCTGGGGAATGGGGCAGGTGTACATGGAGGGTGCATATCTATATGGACTACGAGGAGTTTGCAAACTGGTTTCTTTAAAAAGAAACTAATTTGAGGTGACTAATGTAGTATCTGCTCATGGTCCTGGGGACCTCAGCCACTGCAGGATGCACTTCTCCTTTGTGTGAGCCTGCTGTGTTGCCACCCCAGAAGCAGATGAAGCCAGTAACTCAAGCAATGCATTCTCTAAAGGTGCTTGCTGTTATCCTTTCCCTTTTTGGGCAGTCAGCTGCTGAGGCAGAGGAAACCTTAAAAGAGCAGGGAGAAGACCGTGTGTGTTCAGCCCTGCTGGAATAGCAAGACAGGGTAGCTTACATGATCTTGAAGGGTGGAGAAATAAAAAGAAGGGGGGAAAGTCATTAACTGATATCCTTAGCAATCTAATAACTCTTGACATTGTCTTACAGAGGAGCAGCTAGTTGAGCATAAATCACCTGCTGTGCTTAATGGACAGAAATACAGACCTACTCCATTTCTTTTCTTCTCAGGGAAAATCCTTCATTAAAGATGCTCTGAAGTGTAAGGCTCATGCCTTGAGGCATAAATTCAGCTGCATCAGCCGTAAGTGCCCTGCCATTAAAGAGATGGTGTTCCAGTTACAGCGGGAGTGCTACCTGAAGCATGACCTGTGCTCCGCCGCCAAGGAGAACGTCCAGGTCATTGTGGAGATGATTCACTTCAAAGACCTGCTGCAGCACGAGTAAGTGCCTGTGCGCTAGTGCGGTCAGAGGCGTGGAAGCTCCTTTCAGGAGCATGATGATGCTGACGGGTTGTGCCTGTGCCCAAGAGCCTTTTCACCTCCTTATGGCCTTAAGCATGTCTTGTTTTCCCAGGGTCCTTGAAGACTAGTTTGTATATGAAGGGTTAGATGTGACCGAGGAAGGAGAAGACATGGGTTGAAGCTGGATCTAGCTGTATCGTTGGTTCACTGGCAAATACAGCATTAGTGTTTGCTGTTTCCAGGGGCATCCCACAATGTCCATGTGCTTTCCAAACTCAAAGGCACTGTTCCTGACCCCGATACCTTGTAAAAGACAAGAGAAGGAGGAGAGGGAGAAGAACTATGCAAAATTGTCAGTAAGAAGATAATTTATTTTGCAAATATATGCTTTCAAATGCCTTGTAGTTAACTGTTCCTGAAAGAGCTGCAGTCCCACCGCTCCATATTAACCTCAAATGCTTTTCAATAAAACATTGAGGAATACAGCATGAGGCACAGGTCACATTTTAAGTAGTTCATCTCTCTGGCTGGGAGCACAGCTGCTCCCCAGGGAACGGCAGGCACGAATCTTCGCTGGAATTGCTCATGCTGCTACGTGACGGGAACAAACAAGGCGCAAGCAATTCTCTCTGTACAGAGGCAAAAACTGGGGCCTTTTTCCCTTGCAGGTGAACATCTCACTCTCCAATAAGGAGGCTCAGCCATAACCTGGCGGCAGACTTAACCGTAGAGCATTTTCCTGCCATGCACCGATGACTTTTTATCCCTAGTGGATATTAGCGCAGAACCCCCAAATCCTAGCAATCACAACAGATTGATTTTTCACGGAATCATTTGTTTTGGACTTGTAGCCTTGCATTTTCATTGATCTCCAAAGGAGCTGGGCCCTGATTTTTCTTGCTGTCTGTTGAAAACCATCCCCCTAATATTTAAACTGCAATTATAGGGAGAGAGAGAGAGAGACTCTGATGCCTGTTTGCCCTAAAATGCAGACTCATTTGCTGCGGTTTGATGAGCTGAACATGGTGGGCTGAAAGCAAGGCTCTTCCCATGGACATTCCTGAGGCTCGGATCAAAGGCATGACTGGTGGCATATGGTGGCCTTGCCAGATCTGCTGGCTGTGGCCACAGAGAAGGGCAGCTCCCCCTGCCCCAGGCCCTGCTTGCTGGGGCGAGCAGAGAAGTAATGCTTGGTGCTGCACAAGAGCACCTCTCTGTGGACGCTGCTGAGGCTGCATTAATAGGCTCTAAATTAGGGTACTTGGCACCAATTAAACCCCCATCATCATCAACCTCCCCCCCCCCACCATGAGAAGACCTATGAGAGCCCAAAGCTGT